TGCATATGCTCAGACACAGCAGAGACTTAGTAATTTCATGAAACACATTTGCAGCACTGAAAATGTGATATATCTTTCTCGCATTTCTCAATACCAGAATTTATGGAGAGAAAGTACCTCTAATTAGAAGAAATATTAGGTAACTGCATTTGAAACTTCAATTTTTAATTATTTTAGGGAAGCAAAATGCACATCAAGCTCTGAGTCAAGAGCTGTGGGTTCTAATCCTTGCTCCCCACTGATACGTTGGCCTTGCCTTGACTGGCAAGATGTCCCCGTATCAGCATGTTATTCCCTACTGTAATGTAAAAAACCTTGAACTAAAGGGTAACTGCGTTAGTCGGCAACTTTGTAACTGCAGATAGAAGCAGGGAAACGGGACTGGCTACCCAAAGGGATCACTCCTGAATATTTATTAACATATTCTGGGTATTTTTCCAGGATCTCTCATCCATTTGCATGATCAGGTCTAGACTTTTATAACCATGTATTACAAATATTACAACCGTATCTGGGATTTTCCTTTTTCATACTCAGTATTTTTCTTCTGTCTTGCAGAAAACACAAAAAAGACTTATATCAGTTGTCATAATAAAAGATTTCTAGTAATCCATATATTGTAATTTTTTTACTTGAAAAAGTGAGAGTATGGTTGATTTTTATTATTAAAATTTGTTTTTTCTTTCAGATCCAGATTATTTTAAAGTATGTGTTGGATGGAATGATGTATTCAGATAAAGGTTTATTCTATACATGTATGTTCCTAGTAGAGAAGTGTAGAATTAAAATTATACCAATTTACATAAAAATAATTGTTATTTGGGCAATTTATGTAGGGAATTTTGGAATTCAAGTGAAATAGTGGTATGTTTTATTTGTTGTGACTTTTCCAAGATGAAATTTTGTTATTCCCATTTTGGATTTCTCCTAATTCAAATATTTCCCTGAATCTCAAATGTGTAGGTATGTAAAACAACTTGGATTCTGGGATTATATTAGATGATCTGAACTCCCCACTGTTAATGATTTGGAATTGCTGGATATTGGCCCTTTTTTAGAGTGTTCATGTTTGACTGAGGATGTAACTTTGAAAGCTGATGAACTACTGGGTGAGCAATGCTTTTGTGAAAATTGTTCAGCTGAGTATTACAGGAATCACTACACCTAGCAAAACTGGTTTCCAGTTCTAATTCTAAATAGTTTTAGAGGAAAATTTCCCACTTTCTTGTAGTTTTTAAAAACTAGTGGTGTTTAAACTGTGATGAACCATATTGCCAGAATATGGTTATTCTCCTCTTTGCTTTTAATTTCACATTACGTATGATCTCATTCTTAGTTTGTAACGATCGTTTAGAGGGTCAAATCACTTGTATAATAAAGGATACAATTATCCATTTAATTTTCCTATTCAATATTAAATAGTCCAAACAAAACATATAACAGTTGTTCACAGAAAATAGTCTTTTTTTTCTGTCCTTAAACTTTTTAACACATTGTCAGTATTTTCTTACAATCTTTTCAAGGGATTAATACGTTTGGCACACAGCTAGGCTTTTCTCAACTACTTCATGGGAACATAACGATTTACAACTTGTAATTGGATTTGACTTAACAGATAATTTTTAAACCGGCATTGTGATTATTGAATGTTAACTATTTCTCTGTAATTATAATTCACGTGTTTATTATTTTTAAAGAATTAACCATGTATCCATTGCCCATCTTCTACAGTGACTTCCATTAATTTCAAAATATAATAGGAAGCAGGGTTAGTTTACAGTTTACTTTTTACAGTTTATTTCACTTCCCCTTTAATAGGATCTGTGGCAAAAGCCAGCTTTTTTTGTACAAAGTTTCCAAAACAGTTTTAAGTGAAGTCCAGATGTGTAAGTTAGAAAGCTGTTTCTTTCCAGTGCTCAATGGCGAGGAGACTCCGATGACAGATAAAGGCAGCCTTTGGGAAAGCAGACACAGGGTCTCTTTCTCAGGTTCAGAAGTTAACTTCAGGCTGAATTTTCCTCTTCTGGTTCTTGAAGGCTGTTATGCTGAACCTCTCACTTATTCTCAGCAATTACTGGAAATTTATTTAAAATCTTAAAATCTGAAATTGAATTTGTCCAGCTCCTCTGCTTCTCTACCTTATGATCTCCTTTCTTAAGTAATCCCACCCCCTGTTATTTTTTTAAATCTGTGTTTAGGACAACTCAATATTTCCAAACATATTTCTTATGTTGAACTTTGCTTGGTTCTATAGAAGAACACATTTTCCGATGATGACATTCAAAAAAGTTTTTTTTTTTTTAATCACTGATTCCTTATCTTCTTTTACAACCTGTAAAAGTTACAGTAGATTTATTGAGACTTTAATTCAAACATGGGAGAATTTTAATGAGGAAGGAGGGAACAACTGCGTTGTGATTTTGATACTGTTAATCGAGAACATGTAACTTTGGCTCCTAATAAAATCCTCGGTTTTCTCCTGGTTAGCCTGTGTTGCTGGGTGGGCCCCAAATATTATTGCCCGCAGTTGGACAAAGGCTCAGCTGCACGGGGAGGTGAGGAGCGGGGAAACACTGGTCCTGGTAACATCACAGACAGCACTGTTAAAGATAGGTAGGAACAGAGCACATTTGGATGGTCTGTAAAAACATTTAATACCACAGCGCTCTTAATGGTGTTTACCCAATATGACAGAATATGGTTCTCCACCCACTCCCTTTATTAATTGCAGATGTCTCTTTTTTCCCTTACAAACCAGGGCTGCTGGTTTTAAAAAGCAGTTTTCAGTTCTCCCGAGAGAAATGATCTGGTTATTTTTCTCTAAAAATCTCTTTTTTTTTCATGTTGTGTCATATTAACTCTGCATACCATTTCCTTTGCACCTTAAACCTGTTCAAACTGTCCATTTTTCTACTTCACAAAACAGCCCCTCCATTTTTTATTCTTGTTGCTGTCTATTATTTCATAGTAGCACAGTTCACAGGCAGGGTAATACAATTAGCTCCAATTTTAAGTAGCATTTCAGGTTTTCTAATGGTGTTTCTTATGTTTGTTTTCAATTTATCACACTTAATTAGAAGAAAACAAATAAAAATCCTGCTCAATACAGCTGGAACAATAATTCTTTTTTTGCTACATTTCCTTGTCCTTTTTATGATCTATGAGCATTTTAGCACTTGTTGGTTTGTCTTACAAATTGACATATTTATTCTTTACTAAAATGTTACTTTCATTAATGAAAGGTCAGCTCTTAAACTCTGTGGCTATTTCACTTTAATGCATAATATGTTGAATATATTCAGATCATTCATATATCATTATAACCCACTTAATTTTGCAGCTCTGGAAGTCCATCTTTCTAATTTCTTGGGTAGACCTCACGATTATCACCTGACAAGTGTCTGATCAGCAGCACTATGGAAGGATTTTATTGCTGTGTTCAGCTTGCTAGTGGGAAGTAGTGCTGTAGGTAGAGCCAGATTTTTCTTGGATGGGCATAGCAAAGGTTGAGGACCACCGGGCACGAGTTGCTGCAAAGGACATTCCAGTTAAATATTGGGGAAAAATTAATCCACTGTGAGGCTGGTTAAACATTGAAACTGATTTCCCAGAGAGTTTGTGAAATCTCCATGCATTCAAAACTTGAGTGGAAATGCCTCCCAGAAGTTGGATGTAACTTTGAAGTTATACCTAACTTTGAAGATGGCCCTGCTTTGAGCAAAAGCTTGGGTAAGGTGGAGGTCCCTTCCGACCAAAATTATCCTGTGGTTCTATGACAGATCTGCACTGAGTCAGCTACAGACACTCCTGAGGACATCTCCACAAAGCACGGATGCATGAGATGACAAGGTCACTGGTCATCACTGAATTATAAGGTTTTTGTCCTTTTGTGTCCTTTTCTGTAACTTCTTCAGAATCACTTTAACTCTGCCTGAGCAGCTTAGTGTTGACTCAATTTCAAACCACTTTTTAACCAAATTCTTGTGTCAATTTTTTTCACATTTCATACACATAAAAATGATTATTCCATGAAAGCTATGTTAAAATAATGACATGTCCTTAATTACAGAAATCTTTATTTTGCATGATACGAAACTGTAGATGACTTAACTTGGACATATAGCATAGAAAGAAAGAAAATACCCATATTTCTTTTAGCATCCATTTAGTCACAGTTACTGATAAGGTTTTCATTTCACTCCAATACTACCCTGTATGGTTAAGTTGAGCACTGTCAGAAGTGTTCTTCTCATCAGAGAGTTTAGGAAAAATCTGGTATTCAGGGAGTTTATCTGTAAAAGTATATTGCTACAGAGGCATGAGTCGAAGCATTACAAAAATCCCCTTTGGGCTTATCCATGTTTGTAATGTAAAAGAAAGTTCTCAAAGCTAAAAGTAAAATCACTTGGGAAAATATTTGTATTTTTCTAATGCCATAGGCATAACCTTTCATCTGATATAATGGTGAATTTTCTGTAAACACAGAAACAATGGACCTCCACATTAGCTCACGCTAATAGGAAATACAAATTCTGCAGCAAAAACATACTGGAGACCTAAATAAAAATTAAAGATGTTTAAATGAAGCAAAATCAGTATATAGTGGATATTAAAAAATCATAGTGTTCTAAACATAGAAAAATTATAATGACAACTTGCAAAGTTTCATTTATTATTTAAGCAAAATTAGAGACTCAGGCATAATAGCAATTTCAGAAATTAACATGAAATCACTCTGATGGTAGCAACTGTGTCCTCTCTAACTTACTGGAGCGTATAGTCATTTTCTTAGTAGACCTTACAAATTTAGCGAGCTGTAAAAACATACAACTGGTCATTGTTATGTGTGTTCTAAACCCGTATTTTTCTAAAAGAGATGCAGTGATGATCTCTTGTCTCTACTCTGGCTGTTGTGTTGGTTCCAATATTACAAACAGAAAATGCAGTCACTAAAATTTGATATATGCAACACGCTGATATTTTTATTTTCTTTTTCACAGATTAAGATGCTTAGTAAAGCAGCTGGAGAAGGGTGACATTAATGTGGTGGATTTAAAAAAGAACATTGAATATGCAGCATCTGTACTGGAGGCAGTTTATATTGATGAAACCAGGTAAGTCTGAGGGGAAAAAAAAAAAAAAAAAAAGGAAAGGATGTTGGGAATCACATTTTCGAAATTCAGTCTTTGCGTGCAAATGTAATTTACATGAAGGTCTCTGCACATCAGAAGAATTGTATGTGGCTCTTAGATCTTTTAGTGACAAGGTTAAAGCAAGTCAGATTCCAAAGGTCAGATGTAACCGTCACCTGGAGAGTTTGCCTGGTTCTCATCTCCACAGTGTAGAGTCATAAGAATTTTCTGAAGGATGAATTTTCTTTCTCTCACAGACCACATACAGATAATCATGCTGAGGACTGTATCAATGAAAAAAATGGGCTGTTTTGGAATGAAATGCTCACGGAGATGAGTCAGAATATTATAATCTGGCCTGTAAATACATAAATTCATGAAAAGCTGTGGTTTATTTTATAATGTTTGATGCTTTGTTTATGATTATTGTTACTGGCAGTATTGTTGGCAATCATCTTTAATGTGGATTGGCTCCAATTGAATTAGAAGTTCTAAGTATTTGGCTTCTTGAAAGAATTTAAAGATACGTACTATACTGAAGTTAACTAGCTCACTCATATTTCTATTTCAGTGTGCTGGCCTTTTTAAGATTTTTCCTAAGCAGAATGGTCTTGTAGAGATGTCTGTCAAAACTTCTACAACACTGCTGGAACATGCAGTGTATGTCTTGGTTCCATCCGGCATTTGGAACTCCCGTCTGCCATCATACGGATTATTTCATGGGTCTAACTTTCTCTCCCTGTGTGTCCCCACCTTTGCAAATCTGCATATTTGATACAGTGCTCGAAGTACTGTTCTAACTTTTTCCTGTTTCTTTTCCCTTGATGCATGTGGTTCACACACCAATCCTTGCCAGCTGGGAATTTGGAGCATCTGCTATTGGACCCTAGAAAGCCTACCCATTTGAAAACAGAAGAATGAAAACAATAGCAAATGAAGCTGGTATCGGTGGTCTGTTTTTCAGATCACTTGTACTGGTGACCTGCTCTCAGAGTGTGTACTTGTTCAGTTCTGTAAAAAGCTGACAAAAGTGTGGTAACAGGGAAGACTCCTGAGCAGCCTCCCATCTGTAATATAGTTCTTCGGGACACTTTGAACAGTATTGCTAGCAATCCCAAGGCAACTTGAAAAACATTAGGGACCTCAGTGTCTTCAAAAGGGCTCACATATGTTATGAAGATGTTTACAGATTCAGTTAAATTAACTGAGCAGGCTTGGGAAAACCATTTTGTGTGACTTCCAGGGGACCTGGGCTTTGTTAAAAAAATTGAATTAATTTAAATTAAATATTTTTAAATATTAGTAGTTAATATGCCACTGTGCATATATTTATATCAGTTTTTCTGGCTGATTTGAGTTAATCAAGCTTCTTTCACACTGAGTCAAGGGTTGATTTGTGGATTTACGTTAGTTTACAGTTGTATTTGTAATTAAATAGATACAGCTCCTTTGAGAAATAGATATAAGAAATGATCAACAAACTTCTTTTTGACTCATAGTACCACAACAGAGGCTATAATTTTTCAGCAATTGTTCTAAATAGAATTTAATTTTTCAGCAATTGTTCTAAATGTAAATCGTATTGGCCCATCTCATGTGCTCAGGAAGCTTTGGAAGATCTCAGTCCTCTCTCCCCTCTATTACGTGATACGGCATCGCTACCAGTGGTTGGAGCTTAAGCATTTATTTTGCATTAATAGCCATGGGAACTGTATTAAAGCTGCATAGGGGACAAGGACATAAACCACTGATTATTCCTCCCATACACCTCCCAGACACTGTGAATAAATGGATATAGTATTCACAGCTCTTTCTGAATAGTAGCACCAGGACAATGAAAATAGTGTGAGATTTACTCAGTTTCTAAACTGAGGTGGCTTCTGTGGAAGTTAATAATACCATTATAATGAGGAATCCGGTCTTTCCGGCTCTGTGTGGGAGCAGCAAGACAAGTAACAGACATTTCATACACAGAAAACTGGTACACCTGAAAATACATAGGCTTTGGTAACAACAGGTGCATTATTTTTGCTGTAAGAAAATCTTCAAATATGCTAATTGCCCTCATAGGACTTAATAGAAAGATTATTGAACTGTCCAAATTAAAAGTAAACTTATATAATTTTATAGTGGTTTGGAAGAATTTCATAGTTCTCAGGCTATTTTCTTAATCCCAGGGGCTTTATGACCTCATAATGGTGACTTCATTTTCAAAAATTCTACTTCAGTATATGGATAAAGCTTTTGCTCTTCCCTAGCTTGATGCACAACAATGTTTAATCTTATTTATTGCATCCAATATTTGCAGAACAGTCTGATTTTTCACTGCACTAAGTCAGAAAGGAAATACCCGAGACAGGTATATTATTTTGCTTTCATTTATTGAATACTTCTGTTCTATGCAACCTCTATGAGTTTGTAAACCTACCAAATGTTGGTAGGATTCCTTATATAAATATGCATTAAGCATATGGTATATCTTTCTATAGCTATATTTCTGAAGTATATGTATGTAGACATATAAATCAAATTATTTCCCATGACACGCTATAAAAAATAGTTTTGAATGAAATTACTTTAATGAAACCTACTTTTCAACTTTGATTCTCTTCTTTTTAGCGGTTTGCATTTTATATGTCATATTCTTCATTTTGGTTCATAGTGTTTGATTTTGGTTTTAATTTATTTTCCTTAGACTAATGCACTCTCCATGAAATTCAGACTCAGCATTTTTTGAACCTGGTGGTGTTTGTGTAAATTTATGCTAAAAATATAAACTGAGCCTCTGTTTCCTAGTCGGACGATATTATGTGTAGTGCTGTTTGAAATTTTGACACTTCCTCGTTAAAAACAACTTGTAAATTAAGATATTTGTTGTGTGGCAGGGAGAGACTGTAGTCACCATGGGTACTTTCATAGTAAGCTCTTTGGCATGGCAAACTGCAAAGATAATCACATTTTAAATAGCATGACCAATATTCTGTAGTGTAAATCTGCACTAAAACATTTAAAGATAAACACACAAAGAAGGTCTCTTCAGCTAATCCTTACAGAACAAAAGCAGTGTATCATTGAGTCCAATAGCAATGAAGGCTGGAGTTAGCTCGTGTGGTTACATTTGTCCTCATTCCCACCAAAGAATACAGGTTCTTTGTCCTGCACAGAGCTACCGCTGTTGGGAGTCTGGAACTGAGTTAACTGAACTCATTAGTAGATTAGAAATAATAGTTTAGATCATAAGCAGAATGGCTTCTTCCTGCTGAGCCTGAACTTGCAGTTTTATACACCTCAAAGTTCAAATGATTTCAGTAAGTTTCTTACGTATGAATCGCTGTATGGATAAAAGTAATTTCTATAGTATAGAGCAATAACAATTAATACACCAAGTAATGCAGTGAGAAAATCATCTGAGTACAGATTACTTTTATTAACTAAGTCCCAGAAGGAAGTTGCGTGCTTTACAGGATGTAATAGTTCCTGACATTTGGCTTATAAGATAGAAAATCTAATGATGCCTGTTTCTGCAAGGTACAAAGTATTTCAGGCTTAGAACCAAAGTCAGTACAGAGTTTCAGCAACTCATGAAAATACCCATGCTTTCTATTTTAAGCCCATACTAGAGCCTTGGATTTTGTCCTGATGAATTTACTGACCCATTGCTTACATATCGAAGCAGAGGGAAAACCGCAGCTTCAACCAGCCACCTAAAACTGAATCCTGTTTGCAGTGTTCTCTTCCTTCCCACCTTTCTGGAAGACAGACATCAATATCATCCGAGAGAAATCCCTCTTAAATATCTCTACAGTTAGATTAGGAATAGCAACTAACAGAGGGTTGATTAGGAGCATCGCCCTAACTAATCTGTCTGTTATGACACCCTGTTAAACAGCAGAGTAAAATGGTCCCACCAGTGGTCCCACACCTATTTCAGGAGGACCTCCTGCAATTCTTCACAAGCACAGAGATGAAATAAGCAAAGAGAAAAATCAAAATTAAGGTAAAAAAAAAAAGAGATCCAAGTATGAGGTATCTCACAGAGCATGTTCAGTAGTGTAGCCAAGGATTGAGGAAGAGCCTGGCCTCTTCCACAGCTCTGGGGAATCATTTGTGCTACTTTAAAATTAAATCTCAGTCATTCGTCTAGCAAAACCACTTCATTCTTTATAACCCTGAGCTTTTTTCAGTGATCAGTTCCAATTTCTTACAGTATGAGATGCCCTTTTTTCCTGTATATTGTTACTTCAATTGAGTTGATTAGAAAGCTGGCATCATTCTAGAAAATTGTGTGTGCACACAGAAGTGTAAGCTGATGGAACCTCGAATCTTTTTTTTTTTATAGTGCAACAATCAGCTGGAAATGGGTGTAGAATTCAAACCCTTTAGCAGTGTATGAAGTATTTTTCTCAGGCCCTCTTACTTTCCTTTCGTCTACTTCTCTGTTGCTCTACACTATAGCCTTTTATCTGAGCATAAGATAGCATTTTTTTTTAAACTGTGTGCACATACTCAATATCCATACATGCTCTTCCTAAAATATATGCAGATGGTTTGGGGAAAAGGCAGAGAAATAACACAATGGGTTTTATTTATGGAGTTCTGAGAGTTGACTCATTAGAAACAGGGACAGGCAGTAGAGATAACCTTCCAAAATTATGAAAAATTGGTTTGGGGCAATAACTGTTAAAAGGTTCTGAGCTGATGGAAAGTTGGAAAGCACTGAGAAATCAGACATATGTAAGTGCTGCTTACCTATGAGCTTAATTTTCTGTGGCTCCATGTCAATCAAGAAGTTTGTTTAATAAGCCTTTTTTAGGACTGGTGCATCTCTCAGTGCTGAATACATACAAGCTGCACTAAACACTGCCTTGAAAGAGATCTAGGTGCCTAGTAGCTGAAGCAGAGGTTCACTCTCAGCTGAAAATTATCAGTGAAACTCTCACAGTTCCAGCCCTTCAGAAGATCTCTGTGGAAGAAGTTCAAAC